TGTATTTACTGCAAATTTGCATCTTTAAACTTTTTTTCTAATAGAAGGCAAGATAGAAACACCCAATCCAAGAATTCTGTTTTATTGGATGTATCATATTTATAGCTCTTTAGGTAGACACGTTATTCAGACCTGTATTTCAGACTATTTTCTGGCATGATCTGTAAAGTGTGCTTCTGATACAATGAAATGATGTCGGGCAAGCAGCCTGTGCTGCCTTTGCTTATGGAAACAATGCAGACCGATCCCCAGTGCTGTTGAGTCTGGCTGCCTCCTCTCACAGGGGCTGAGCAGCCTTGCAGCATTATTCTCTACAGTGTGCTGCAGCTGTGTCATCCTTGAGCACCTGCAGTATAGATGTTTTTCAGGTTTTCCTTGGTGTTCTGACAGGCAATAGCATGGCCCACATTTCAAAGAATAAAGGACAGAAAGTTCACTGGTTTGGGAAGTAGTCCAGCGAGTGGTGACTGAGCAGGGATCCTGTTTTTACAGGGTAATGTTCTGTTGCTTACTATCCCTGTAGGATGATCAGCATTTCCAGCTGTGCATGGGTGTGAGGTTTGCTGACAGTGCACAGCACTTGATTTTCTGGAGGTGAATGATGGCATTGCAGTGGAATGTGCTCAATGCTTTCATCAATGCTCAATGCATCAACAATTCCTTGTTCCATGGTTGAAAGCACCTTCCTGCACTGTTTATGAGCCATGGATGCTTCTTCCTACTGTCCTCCTTGTAATCAGCACAGTTGTTTTTACAGTCACACTGTGAACTTTAGCAAAGAACTGATGTGACTGAATTTCTTTCATCTGGAGATGCCTTTTTCAGCTGATCAGTACCTGGTCTGGTTCCCCAGGCACCTGCCAGGGTTTAAGCGTCAAGGTAGAAGTGACTGCCGTAGGAAATGTGGCACTTCTAGTTCTTAATGTATTGTGATTTCAGCTAGAGGCTTAGATTGAGTTAATGAATTTCATTAAGTTTTAACTGAATTGTGGACTGCTTCAAATGCAGATACTCTGTTTTTTGCCTCCTTTCCTCCCTTCCCTTATTGTGTGATGCTTTCCTGCCTGTTTTCTTCCGTATACACCAATCTTGCCAATACTGAATATGCTTGTGAATGCAACAGAAAGCTAACAATACAAACGCTTAGTGTTTTCTTTTGGATCACTGAATTAATGCAACTTGTCATTTGGTTTCAGGATCACAAGGCAGGAAAGGAGAGTAATCACATCTTTTAAGTAGTGTTCTGCAATTGGCTTACACTGCTGAAAGGGAGGAAATCCTGTTTCTGCGTTGCAGCTGAGATCTCTGGAGGGTGGGGGAGGAGATCATGACCTACCTTATTTTGGGCTGCTGCATGATACTATTATAGTTGTTGTTATTTGACTTCTTTAGAGGTTAAATTCTTTTCCTGTGATTACAGAAAAACAAGGTAGGATTCTATGGTTTGCAGTGATCAGGTTTAATGTTTACCCAGGGCAACAAGATAGTTACATCTGAATTAGTAAAGGTTTTCCTAAATAAAGTAAATTCTTTTGGAAATGTTATCTCTCATGTAATTATTTTCACAAGAGTTTGTTGGTCTACAGTCTTTTGTGTTGCTGGGGCTTTTGTGTTCCAATCTTCTTATTAACTTCTTGCATTCTGTAACTGCAGTCTTCCTACCCAGTAACAGTAAGCCCTGAAGTCCAACATTTTGTCTCTTTTTTTGGTATCAGGCTGCTATGAGTTCTTCATGTTGTCTGCTGTTGTTGACAGGATAGAAGTCTCACTGGCTTTCTTGAAATTTCTCACCTTTTGTTCTTTCACAGTGCTGTAAAAGCAGCCAAGACCAAAAGTTCTGTTTCAGAAGTGTATTCCAACATTTTTGTTGAAACTGATACTCTGTCCTCTCATACGCTTCTGGTAGTACCCCGATTAGAATAAACCGAATTTATCTCCGAACAGTATTTAGTATTTTTTCTGTTTTCTGAAACTGTTATTTAGTGTGTATGTATAATATTTTCCTTTTTAGAAAGGCCTTGTGGTTTGTTGTTTTTTACTGCGTAAGTTTAGATTTGTTAGACTTCTAACATTCAGTAAGAAAATTGTGGGTTGTAAGCACCAAAATGACCATCATAAGAAGATGAATTAAAGAACCCCAGTAACTTGGTGTTGTGATATTAATTGTATTTGAACTGTTTGGAAAAAGCCATCTATGTGAAAAGGTTATAATGCTTGGAAAGGTTCTGCTAAATCACAAAAATAGACCTACCAGGCTGAAGTGTTACTCTTTTCATGAGTGGTATTACTAATCATGCTGATTTAGGGATAAAAAGCATAAGCAGGGTGTGAGGGGCATTTGGTGGTGGATACAACAAATGACAATGCAGAAGCCTCCCTCTGCCTTCTCTCCTCAAATGTTTTTGGCCTTTTTTTTTCTTTACTGCATGCTGCACCTGGATGGCTCTCAGGAGAGTAAGAAATACTCAGGAAAGTCCTACCCATTTTCCTGTCTCTACATAATCCCATCTTGCTGAGCATTCTGCTCATTGCAGAAGAGTGGTCCAAGTATCTTGCTTAGTGGAGAGAGTTACTGGAAGAGCACTGGAGAATTACTAGCAGGGCTGCTAATAGAAATCACTGGAGGCTGTAACATTTGCTTATACAGAGTGCTTAACTCTTTGGTGTGTATGGTTGCTAAAGGCTAATAGGGCATGGCCAAGTCTCCATTAAGTTTTTCTGTTGGCTAGTAGGCAATAATCCTTTTAGAAGTGGAGTTGGTAGCAGGGGTGTCTGAGAGATTAATTTCTGCTGCTGTGCTGAGGAGAAGAGATTCACTTGTGGAATAGGCTGATTGATACACTGTGGGGGATTAAAAACCTCAAAAGCTTACATGGTAGGTTGTTTTGTTTTTATTCGAACTCCAGGTAACAGGAAAAATGGGACTATAAATAGAAAGCTTAACAGTGGGAGTAATATAATATAGATCATTTGTACACGTGAGTGAATGACCTTCATAACTAACTTATGAGTCACTCTGGCAAGAATAAATTGGACTACAAAACAATTAACTGCAGTGGTTTTACTTGCTAGATGATATGCTAAAAGCAACCCTTTTAAAAAAGGGTACTTGTTTTGGAAATAGTAATTTTGCTGCTAAGTTCCCATATTTCCATGCTTAAGTGTTGGTTTAATTTTGGTTCTAAAAGTAATAACAAGTCACCTTTATGTTGAAGAAAATTTGCTCTACATTAAAAAAAAGGCACAAAACAAAGAAAATACCCGAGGAAGAAAGAAAATCTTATCACTTGGTTGTCTAGTGTATGTAAGACAAAAGTTCAGTCTTGCTTTGTTGTATTCAATAACTGTGGCAGCAAGGGGAATGATAGAGTATGCCTGGACCTCAGTGGCTGCCTCTGTTCAGCATAAATACATTGTGATGTTTTTCTTAAGTAATTGCACATAAACCAGATGGTAACTAATATCTTTTTATTATCAGATCGATTGCTTTAGTATTATCACTGTTGCATTAACTTGGTGATTTATCATCAGCTTGGGTTTTTGTGGTGGTACCAGAGGTAAAATAAACACAGTATTTCTGACCTTCACTTTTGTCAATTTTTAGTTCTGAACAGTCATGCAGTTTTAGGAGTCCCTCCTGGCTTTCATAGTGCTGTTGCTGCTATCACCACTTTCTGCATTTTTCAGCAAGAGTTTATTGTGAACAGTGTTTCAGAGTTTTAATACTGAGTTCCCACTTGTAAAACTTTATATAATTGTTGGTACTGTGCAACACTCAATCTGGGGGAGTTGTGATTGGTGGAGGGAGTAATTAAATTCCTGGACTGTTCTAATTTTAATGCAAGTATTGTGTTTATTGAGCATCTGTTACATTATTGCAATTTTATATGTTGTTGTATGTTTTAAGAGTACTAGTAAAAAGCAGGTTTTTGATAACTGTAGTTATAATTTTTGATGAAAATGTGATAAATAAGAATTGTTTGTTCCCTTCCCTCTCTTTTTTTTTTTAAAAAAAGAGACTATTGTCTTCCTGATGCTGGTGAAACAGTAGCTTTTCTGAATGACATAACAGTTGTACTTGAATTTGAAATAGCATTTAGCCATGACCTCCTTTGTTCTCTATTTCTCCCCTCTTCTTGCTGTTTGATGGGAACCAAAATACCTCTTTGGGAAACTTGGTAAACCTCCATACTTTGCTGCCTAAACATGCATCAGAATACATGTTTGAAGTACCTCATGTGGCAAGTGCTAAAATAAACACTTTGAACTCTTTAAGATTATGAGTCATCAATCCCTGGCTGCTGTTTTTATATTTCAATAATGGATATAACCTATCTGGAAGTCACTTTTCAGAGACCTCATCATGGTGATCCATAATAAATCTTGACTAGCTAGAAAGTTCAGATACGCATGTGTAATATTTTAAGATTTGTTAAATTAAAATTCTGAGAGTTTAATCTGTAGTGCTACTCTGTTCTACACCTAAGAAGGCCTTAGTCCAGCAACAGGATTTGCCTTACGGTAATTTTGTGTGTAGAGATCATGATTACACATCTGAAGAGTGTTAAATCTGTCAAATACTAATTCAGTGGCAGGTCAGCTTCAAATCAATACGGATTTCGTTTTTTAACATACCTGTTTTGCTACATGAGCATGTGGTGGAAATAATACTATTTCTCTAGCTCATCATTTCTATTATACTGAAAAATGTAGGAGCATTTACCTTAGGTTTAGTGGGTTTTAATATTAAATGGCTGAAATGAGGTAATCAACTACTTTTTGTAATATTATTTGTATGCAGTTGTCCAAAAGTGAGATAGAATTTAGTCCAGAAGGAGCATAGGAATTCTCTTTTTGGTGGACTGTTCAGTAGCATACAGTATTTCAAAGGAAGTATTTTATCTGTAACAGGAAGTCTTTTTTTAATGAAGAAACTTAATTATTTGATATAGAATCTCTCAGTAATATTGACCTCTTAAATGATGTCTTCTGTTTTGTAGAAGACCCTTTTGAAGACTTCTTCGGGAACAGGCGGGGTCCAAGGGGGAGCAGAAGCAGAGGTGGTGGATCATTTTTCTCTGCCTTTGGTGGATTCCCTGCTTTTGGAAGTGGTTTTTCTTCATTTGACACGGGTAAATATCACAACATTTGATAAAGAATGGAATTGTAGTTCACAAAGAATCTCAATATAATATACACTTTTTAAAAAGTTACCTTAATTCAGGAAATTCTGAAGCTGCCTTTTTAGAATAAAGCTGCTCTGTGTGAAGTCTGAATGTAAATAAAGCTGTAGTTAAAATACTTGGTCTACCTGGGAAGTTCATGAAAAGTAAATGACTTCTAAGAGGCAAAACTTTGTGCTTTTAATTTTGATGCTACAGTTCCTTTGTAGCTTGAGAATTGTTTTTGTTCTGGTTGCTTCTAGGTGTTGGGGGTGTGATAGCTTTTATTTAAGGCTCTGAAAACACACTGGAAAAACGTGTGCCCATGGTACTGCTTAGAATCTGTTGTGGGGTAGGCAATTTGACAGCTGATGTCAGTATCTCAGAGTTTGCTGAGAGTTGCTGGCAGTCAGCATCCTTTCAAATGTTAAGATGTTTGCATGTTGGTGATACAAAACTTGTTCCATCTGCTAACTAAGGGCATCCCAACATCTACATTAAAGCAAAAAATCAGATTAATTAAAGTCGCTAACTTTACCTTGAGTGATACAGTGGTTGAGTTCAGCAGACAGGTTTGAAAACCTTTTCTTCAGGGGACAAGATGACAAATGGTTTTTTGACAATGCTCTGCATTTCAAATATGAACTGTGTGTCTATATGGGAGAGTGGATGGGGCAGGAGCCATGGTTTTATTCGCACGTTAGTGTTCTATACCATCTAGTCACTCATGTTGATGCAACCAACTAAGGGTATCCTGAAGCTGAGATGTAGTCTTAGTGGATGATAAATGTAGATCATATGGCCATGCAGAAATACATTTTTAGTCAAATACCTTCTTTTCTAATAGGTTTTACTTCATTTGGCTCGTTGGGACATGGAGGCCTTACTTCGTTCTCCTCTACGTCATTTGGTGGCAGTGGGATGGGTAACTTCAAATCAGTATCAACCTCAACTAAAATAGTTAATGGCAGAAAAATTACTACAAAGAGGTAAGTGATATAACTGTATTTGTATGTAAAGGCATGCATAACTATAAATATATGCATATAAATAATCTATTCATACACATAAATATAGTGATGCATGTATGTACCTGTACTTTTGTGGTCATCTCATTACTTGAGTTTCTCTGGTTAAAAAAAATTTGAAGTTTTTTTGGGTTCTCTACCTTAGCATTGCTCAGTTACTTAAAGCTGTAGCATGTGAAAATGGGGAAGATGGTGTTCTTGTCTAAGTTCTTGACAGTCAAGGATGGTTTAGATGTGTAGGACATGTTTTCAGAACTGCCGTGATGAAAAATTGAGGTTGCAACTTGTTTGCTGTTTAAAATGGACCTACCAATGGAGTCCTTCCAGGCCTTCAAAATCTCTGGTATTGGTGATGCCTCTTTTATTATGGTCCTTGACTGTGGTCTGCCAGGTCAGCTTGAGATTCTGGAGGGGAAAAAAAATGTACTTGGTTTCTCTTGATTGTGAAGCTTTTAGCTGGGGTTTAACTACCAGTTAAATATGTCCTTTAAATTATGTCCTTAATTTTTGTAGACATTATGAAACATGAAACAGTTTTCTCTAACATCTGCTCTAGTTTGCTTTCCTAGGCAGTGTTTGAGTGAAGCTTTTGTGTAAAAAGGAATTTTATCTGTTAAATGAAGTAAGCAACTGAAGCCTGCTGTGGAGGAAACTTCCTGCTTATTGGGAAGTGAATTTTCAAGTACTATACACAGTGCATCTTCTCACTATTTCGTGCTTGTGATGGGGAAATCACTGCTTTTGGAAATGTAGATATTTGCTGTAGAGTAACCTACATGAGATATTATTATTAATAAGTTAATATACAGAATAATATAGTTAGTATAGTTAAATGTCATTTCAGTACAAATAAATCTATAGAAAAGCAAGGAAGAACCAACGTTTTTGGGTAAATTGTGCCCCATAGTTCAAAGTGCAAGGTTTTTTCTGTGTCCTGTTGTACTGGAAAGATCCTGTCAGTTTGGCAACATAAATGCAGCTGTTGTCATCATGCACTGGTGCAGTCATGATATTTTTCTGTGAATGTATTCTAGAAAAATTTGAAATCTACCCACTTTTGAGGGAATTGCACCAGGTGAGAGAGCAAAAGAGAAGACACCATGTTTGTTTTAACATTAAAAGTAGGGTAATTTTCTGTTACTATTTAGAAGGGGAGGGTGGGGGGATGTTACGCCACATCTAGGGAAACACTGTCTCGGAGAAGTCCTATTACTTTGTAGAATGTCTGCCTACAAGGTATCTAAGACTACAGAAGATTGATACCCAATGAAAATCTGAGTAATACTTTGCTTCAGGCAAGGAACTGTTTCCTCAGTTTTTAATATGGGTGTATTCCCTTCAGTAAGTCTGATCTCCATCATCCATGTGGTTTTTCATTTGAATCATGAGGGACAAATTCCCAGATAGCTTAAAATTTAGGCATGATTTAATGTTCTAAAATAATGTAAACATTCCTTGTTTTCCCATTTCTAAAACAAGCAAACAAAAAAACCCAAACACACAGAGCTCTTCAATAATTTTGTCTTCCAGTCAGGGATGCTTAAATTTTGCAACATAAGTGCTGGTCATAAACTTGGTGTACATTAAGTCTCAAAATGAATTGCTCTGATAAAATCAAAAGTGGATTGAAGACTGTCTTGCATACCTTACATTATGGAAAATTGTGATTGGATCTAGAATATTATGCACTTAACAAATGGATAGGTACTGAATGTAACATCAAGATTGTATAGTTGATCTGTCAAAAGATATTTGGTTCTAGATAAGAGTGTGTAGTGTCAGTACAACTGTGACAATGTATGAGGTGACAGCTGTAACTCTGAATCCTACAAACTGGAGGATTCAAACTTCCAGAAAGCAGTTTTCCTGCTATAAATAAGCAGTATCAGTGGGGGGGATGCAGATGGTTACTAGGTATATCTTCTGTGCTGTTAAATACAAAAGCTTACCAACTGAAGTGGCATTAAGCAGGCTGCATTATAGTTATCTGTCTGAAAACCTAGGTCTGATGTGTGTTCTCAAACTGCTTGCAGTGCATTACAAAGGCTGACTGTGTTCTTGTCCTACAGAATTGTTGAGAATGGGCAAGAGAGAGTAGAAGTTGAAGAAGATGGCCAGTTAAGGTCGCTAACAATAAATGGTAAGGAGCAGCTGCTACGCTTGGATAACAAGTAATTCAACGCACGCATTTAACAGAAATTTTAAGCTATAACAGCCACCATTTGAGGATTGACAGGAACATTTTTTGAAGATTTCAAACGAACTCAACTTTCTGTATATCCGTACTTAATCTTAAGTAGTATAAATAGCTCACCGAAGCTCGTATTTGTCATAGACTTTTGAGTTAATTGTTGGGACCACATCAATTGGACCATTTTTTGTCCTTAAAATTGTTGTAAATTTCTGTATGCACTTTTCTTTTTATTATATATGATCAAGGTGAACCATGATCCTTCAGTAGTGCTAGGGCAAGATGTACACTAACACTAGCATGAATCTTGCTTTTTACAATTTGTTTGAAATGTGAGCCAATTAGTAGTTTAAGTCTGCTGTGAAGTTAACATTTCCAGGATAACCTTTTTAATAATTTCAACTTCTTTTTTTTTAATGTTTAGTAGTGAACAATGTTAATACATTTCTGGTAATGCATTTCTGGTTTAAATAAATTAAGGATGTTTTCTAGTTGTGCATGAATGCAGACATCTTAGTAAGTTTTGACAAATGTTTAAATGTGTATTGTAAGCAAAAGGTAAACAAAAGTGAAGCCAGTGAGCTGGGTCTTTTGTCATTTGCTACAAAAAAAAAAATTCAAAATGAATAAATGCTGATGTTTGTGGTGCATTCTTTCATGAATGGCATTTGTAACCTTGTGTCTGTGTGTGATTTGGGCAACTTGGGAAAACAGTGTGCTTTTTTTTCTACCACCTTTTTCTTAAGTCTTAAGGATGAGGGCCTTTTTTCTTGGCAGATGTTTTCTTCAATGTGACTGAAAACATATTTAATTTCTTTTCTAAATCTGTATCTGATCACCTATTTTTAAAAAGCATTCAGAGGCTGACTCTATAACTCCATCTTTTGCCCTAATGCATAAATTTCTTGTCTAGGCCTGAAGCAACTCCCTCTGTTTAAAAGTAAAATTGTTCTGAAGCTGTAAATTTCCAAAATTAATCCAAATTAATTCTCTGTAGAGAACATAAATATACAGGAAGACATTTAATAATTTTAAATTTCTGAACGATAAGATTTTTTGCTTGTTTTGGGAAGTAACATAATTACTTTGGAGAAGATTAGTACAAAATTATTAGGGGTAAAATATATCTTATTTTTACTCCTCAACCAAAAATGAAAAGATAGATTAATGCCTTTTGTTAAATTAATGGAGCGAAGCATTAATTTGTAGCTAAGACTGGATTTTCAAAGTTTAGTGGGAGATGACTTGATTTCTCTATGTCATAGAGAAAGCATGCAAATAAGTATTGGCATATGTTAACACCTGCCAGGCTCTGGGTAGTTTAATGCATAAATCATGGGTGTGCAGCTTTTCTCTGCTTTGAACATCTGGCCTTCTTTAGGGTGGCTTAGTGTTTAAAAAAAAAAGCATGGTGTTTTCAAATGATCACTTAATGCCTTCTTGCTGAACACCATCTGCTTTGTGCTAACAAATAGGTTGTTAAAAAAAATAAATAAATTTGCTTTTGTTCATTATGCAGGAAAACCAAGTCAACTTAACCCAAACCAACAATCTTAACAAACTGCTATGCAGCAAAACTAGTATATCTTAAATTTGTCCCTCTACCATTAATGCTAATTTCATAGAACCAAACAAAATAACAGGTAAAAGAAGAAATAAAGATGTACTTTGGTTTGGGGACTACAGAAGTTATGTACCTTTCTGAGTACTTTGCAGAGTTCTTGTTACTTCAGTGTTGTTTTTGGTGTAGAAGCACAAACTCAGTTTAGAACTAAGCTGTTTTCTTGATGATACTGGTTTTTCCTTCCCCATGTGTGTTCCTTCCTGATCTGAATAACTGAACAGACAATTTATTTCAAAATCTGGCTTTGTTGTGATTTTTTGAGTTATTAAAAATGTTAATTTATATTTATAGGACACAGTGTGCTCCTTTATGTTATGTAAACTGTAAAAAGTGCTTCAAAATTGGTTAACCAACTCAAATAAAATTAGGACAATCTGGACCTGAGTTTGAATTCCTTCCTGTGGTTACCCATAGGTTTTATCTTTAGCTGCCAAACTTCATGTTCTATTTTAGTCCTAGGTAATCTTCTTTAGCATTTAAATTACCTGGCTCAGGTTAAGAACACAATGATGATAGCATTGCTGCTAGTGACAAATCTGTACCCAACCTGCTTGCCTTAGATCATCTTACCCAGAAAAGTGTGGTCTTACAGTATTAGATACAAGCCATTTGGTCCAAGATTCTACAATGAAATCTCTAAACACTGTAAATTTGCTGAAGATCCAGTGTTTTGGTTAGTCTGGCTTCCTCAGCTGATTAGTGTCAGAGCAGGACAAAATACAGCATTAAATGGCAGTGCTGCACTTTCTTGGTAGAAAGAGAAATTGTCAAAACACAAAAACAGATGCAATGAAATAGGACAGCAGAAGGTAGAATTAATCAGTAAAGATTTCTACAGTAATCAGCAGATACCCCTAAACCAGCACTGGAGTAGGCTGGTGGTTGAACTGGATGGATACATGGGCTTGGGCCAAGTATACAACTGGATTGGCAGTTCCAGATGTAAAAAATTGTCACTTTCTTACACTTGACCTAAGCCTAATAGTTTCCAACTGTTTCCATATGTACAACACAATTTTTCTAAAATAACACTATTGCTTATTCTTGCATCCAACTTCATTTTTACACAAAATGAATCCCCACTCTGTATACTGATGTAATTTCTTCCTATTATGTATTACATATTTAGACTTTCTTAAATGTGCTGCTGAAATCAGCTTCTCATATCATTCCTTACTAATATGTGATTTGCATGTACATACTCAGTAGAAGTAATAGATCATCAAAGGCAGCAGATTTTCTTAAACTTCAGTTTGGGCCAAAATAGCACAAAATACTTAACAAAAAAAGATACTTAATTCTAGCAAATGCTAGGCATAAAATGTGCAGTGGGCTTAGGTAGCTTTCAAAAACAGGAGCTGTTTGTTTAAAAGTGCCATTTCTTCGTATGAGAGAGATTTATTTTGAATGTTTAGGGTCACCATCCAGTTTAATTTAAACTTCCTCCAGTGGTTTGGAAAAGACTAAGATGGACTTCTTGAACCTGCTGAGTCACTTACTCTTTCATGCTCTGCCTCAAAGTTAATTGGTAGCACACAATAACTTTGCAATGCTTTTTCTTGGTGCAACTTTTTTGGTCTCTTGTGCATGGCAGTAATTTTGATGCAATACCCTGTAACACAAGTGTCTCTTTGGATTGCATGTCATCTACCCCTTTTACTTGGCTTTGCTGAAGAACTTTGGGATTTTGCCTTAAAAAGCTTCACACTTTAAAATTGCTGCATCTATTCTTGTTCTTTGTTCTTAAGATACCTTCTCTGTTGGGAATCACAGGCATTGTTTTGTGGTACAAGTGACAAAGCTGCTCTGCTGAGTTAAGTGTCTAGCATTTGTAAGATGTGTACTCCATCAGCTTGTGATGAATTGATGAACTGAGTCTTAGAATGCTGAAAACAAGGCTTATGAAAGACAAAAAAAGTAATCTCTGAACAAGCTCAAGGGCTGTATATCTGTTGGTGTTCAGCTGTCCTGTTTGCTTGCCTCCTTCAGTGTATTGGTGTTAGGTGTGAGTGGATGTTTGGTTTTCCTATGTAGCTGTGCTTCTGTGTTTTAGACCATCTCTGGGATGGTCCAGTGATAAAGTTAGATCTTGTTTTTGGAAATTTGAGTTATGTTCCTGAATTTGTTTTTCTTGTGTTTGAAAAGTGAGCTTTTTTCTTTATTTTTTCTTACTGTGATTGTAATAGGACAGCGTTACCTCTGAGATGGTTGTATTGCAAAATGAATGTTACAGTGATGTGATGCTCATGATTAGGGAGCTTTTCTAAAGCACTCAAAAGCTAATGCAATACTTTAACTTAGTATTAGAATTCTCGTTGACCTTTTTGTGAAGGATTTCAAAAGTGCTTTTGGAAAACCTCTGGTTTTGGTCATGATTTTTGGATGTCCTAGTACTGAAGCTTATTTTTTAAGTTGTGTTCTCACAAGGTAGTTGCAATACAGCCATCATACTCTGCCATTTGCCAGTAACTTGGACTTTGAAACTTTTTTAATGTAAAAAAAAAGAGGCTTGTTTGCACTGTCAGCTGCATCTATTCTATTTTACTTTGAGACTGAATCGTGATCACAGACCTGCTTCATGTAGACAGTTGAGGCTTCTTTTTTGGTATTGCTTGTCTTTAAGTGATTGCCTTAAGAAAGAAGGCTTTTATCTTCCACCTGAAATGCTGAAACGGTCCTTATGTTGCAGTGGCATTGGAATGAAGCTAAATTGCTTTGTTAGTGTTACAAACTATGCCTTTTGAATTCATCCTTATAGTGGGTTTACTGCTTGGTCTGCTTTGGTTTTGGAAAAAATACCTGGACTAAGGTTGGTTGGTAAGTGAAACTGAAAAGTTAGAGCAGAAGGTTATTGGTTTATACTCTGCTACACAGGTCATGCCTTCAAAAACAGTAAGCCTCACTTTTGAGATGCTGCTGTCAGATTAAACAAAATATTAAAATTAAAGTGCTGTGACCATCTGAGCTGTGGCCCTGAACCTAGGCGAAGCTGACTGCTGATTTAGGCCCATTGAAACTTCTCTGAAAACGATGTTCTGGTAGATTTAGCACTGGGTTAGCTGTTATCTTCCTTAAAACAGCTGGTAGAAAGTTAATTGAAAACCCACATGAGTGCTGTATCCCCTGTCATGCTTCCCATGTCTAAAAGACATGCAGTAGTTTGGATGTGATGCTACCCAAAACTGAAAGCTCTGAAGTCTTGGTGTGAGGTAGATTGCAGTGGCGGCCTGAGTGCTAATTATCTTCCAAATACAGGAAGTGAAAAACTTCCTGCCTGAGAAGATGTCAGCTTCAAACTGTAATGGTGAGGATTAAAGTATATTTAATTCAGAAGATAAGTGAAAAGATTTATTAAAAGGATGCTGTTATGTAGAATAGTATCTGGCTTATTAAGTAATGTTAGTTTTTGTGGCATAGTGGGTTTATTTTAAAATCACTAAAAGCATAATTTTTGAGTGTGACTGAAAATTTGCAATCAAGAAAACAGATTTTTAGGGGCCTACAGTAATAACTCTTAAAACTTAGCTTTGCCCTATGACTTACCCTTTATACTGAATCACTAATGAGTGCTCTTTCAGCTGTTCTTTCCAGTGCAGCCAACTTTGAATCATCTTCATAAAACCAGCTGCTTCTTTACCAGTGCTCAGACTAAAGCTGAATCCTTTCACACACGTGAATCTTAGTTCTGGGAGAGATTAAACCTAGGAAACACCTAGTTTCTGAAGACTATAGTGAGGATGCTTGTCTTTTACATGTTATACATGAAGTATATAGGGTATGTTGAGAGGGCTTCTTCAATTCCTCCTTTCATTGGCTGTTAAAAATCAAATATGAAATTTTCTGCATTGTTTACTAATTTATTTGAATGAGTTACTAGTATGGGAGAAGAATCCAGCCTGAGTGACTGGTTTTAGAATTCAGATTGTGGAACACGTTTCTGATGGCCAGGAGAGAGAATTATTTTGGCTCTGTGTGTAATGGAGTTGCTTGAAGCTGTTACCAAAACAGCTACAGATGCAAAATGGC